ATCCACTATATGTATCTTGTTAAGCGCATAGAGCATTGCATAAGTGGATATGCGCTATATAAATGCAATCAATTATTATTTATTTTATTATTAAGTGAGTGGTTGGCGTGTGCTCTGGTGTGGTTTGCTTTTTCTTTCCTATGAAACATATATCTTTCTTATCTCCCCTTCTTCTTTTCTATGTTTGTTACTCTCTTGTAATACCTCTTATCTTCTGGTGCTCATATTATGGCCTTATGCCGTTGCGAGCGCCGTAAAACCTCTACTAAAACTAAAACATTACTATAATAATTTAACCTCCTTGATAAAACCCCCTGTACACTTACGGTTCTTGATACCACCATGAGGCCTAATTAATATTATATAATGATATGATGGTAATAAAATATAAGGGCCTGTCTATCTATCTATCTATCTATCTATCTATCTATCTATCTATCTATCTATCTATCTATCAGGCTACACACATGGTTTAAGAATTTTCTAGAAAAAGTTCAGTCAGTGCAAATTAAAAATAGCTTTTCGAAGCAGGTCAGGCTCGATTATGGAGTTCCACAGGGGTCCGTTCTTGGACCAGTGCTCTTTACACTATATACACAGCCCTTAGCAAGAAATTTACAAAATCATGGATTGAATTATCATTTTGTGCCGATGATTCCCAAATGTATGTTAATGACACCATTTAAGATCTGCCAAACATGATTTCTATCACTAAACAATGTTTTTATTAAATTAAAAAGTGGATGACAGTAAACAAATTGAAACTAAACGAAGAAAAGACAGACATCATTCTTATTTAAAAAATCCATCATTAAATAAAGATCTGGAAAGTGTCAACTTTGATTTATATGGCATATGACATCTAGTAAAGAAGTTGTCAGGAATCTCGGTGTATATATTGACCATGCACCACTTATCAATGGGCTCGTTTGTAGGATCTCTGTCCAAATCCCTTTATTTTCAGCTGAGAAGGATAGGCCTAGTTCGAAAGTACTTAAACGAAGAGACCACAAAAACACTGGTAACATCTCTTATCCTATCTAGATTAGACTTTTGTAACTCACTCCTAGCAGGTCTGAAAAAAAAAAATTTGAATCGTTTACAAGTGATTCAAAACAATGCGGCTAGACTGATAAGGGGTTGTTCAGGTATATTCTAACACCTTTTTGGGGACTTTTTGACCCCCCCCCCCTTTCTTACACTTTTCTTACATTTGCCCCCCCCCCCCCCCCCCCACAAGAAAATATTACATTGTTCGCTTATAATGAGAAAGATAATATGACACTTTTTATATTGTGCAATTTCGTAAAACAATCATTGTTCTAGGCGCATTGCATAAAATTCGTGAAAAACATGCATACACCTATATATACATGCACATAACAATGTATGCACTAAAAAGAATAGGTGTCACGACATGGTGTGATCAGGCGCACGTCAGTTTTGAGACATACGGAGTTATTGATATCATCTTAAAGCCTGTCCATTTGCCTTCCTTTTTATGAAAACGATATTCATCTATGCTGAATAGAAGTCGAAATATTTTCGATTGAAAGATGTGTGGGTCACCTGAATTCAGAGGTAAATTTAGTGAGAAGATGGCCGCCAAAGTTTGATAACTTCAATAGCTTGAGAGCCTTTAAAACTAAAAAATCACATATTTTGTGCATTTAAGGAACGTTTTTCAGTAAAAATTCGCTTGGAAATATGTTATTATATAGACGTAAAACAAGAGGGAAAACCAAAAATTCAATAAAAGTTCCCAAACCTGCGGAGGAATGCCAGTTTTTTCACTTTCATTATTCTGACGAGCGCCTGATTTTACCACGGTGCCTCTTAGAGTAAATCATTCAAGCAAAATATGGCATACACTCTTTCTTACTAATAAGGAAAAAATTGAGACTCATGTCAATGACAAAAGCGCTTTAATTACAAATAAAATAAGTTACAGTGGAATTCTGATAAAGTCAACTCCCCGGACAGAAAAAAAATGTTGACTTTGAGCAAGGTTGACTTTATCCATTGTACTACTGGCCATTGAATACTGAAGATGACAGCTACAACATTACAAAGTACCTGGTAATAAACAAGATGTAATCTCAATTTCAGAGAGTATAATTCTGAAGTTGTCACCAAAACTAGAGATAATGAAAGAACAAAGTAATTGGAGGTGTGTACACCACTAGCTCAGGCGAAATATCTCTTCTTAAATGAATTCATCTTGGGATTTAGCCCAAATTGTAGACTTTGCGCAAGCTTAACACTCAAGCGGTTGACTGTATCAGAAACACAATTAGATCTACTTAAAATTACTTAAACAAAGAAGGTAAAAAAGAGGACCACAGTATGAGGTGTTGACTGTAAGCAAGAGTTGACTTTAAGCGAGTTGACTATCAGGATTTCACTGTATCTGTTATTACTGATCACTATGCTGAAAACAAAAAGTGAAATTAGTTATCATCAACAAAGGCAGTGTTCATCATTATGTCAAAAATATTTTTTCACCTCACAAAAGTGTAATATTACAGTAGTTCAAGGACCCCCCCCCCCTTTCTTACACTTTTCTTACAGGAGCCAAAGACCTGCCCCCCACCCCTCCCAGGCGTAAGATTTTATTTGAACGGCCCCTAACAAGATCTAAAAAACGAGACCATGTCACTCCATTATTAAAAGAACTGCATTGGCTCCCTGTAAAAGAAAGAATAATATTTAAAATCTGCGTCATGCGTTTCAAATGTGTAAATAAAACTGCTCCTTTTTATCTACAAAAACTTATCAGTATTTATAAGCCAGGGAGAAACCTAAGATCATCAAACGACAACACCCTACTAGTGACACCTGTAAAATCATACAAATCATATGGAGAGAGATCTTTCTCATATCTTGGTCAGTTTATGTGGAACAGATTACCCATAAAACTAAGACAAATAAAAACACTAATTGATAGCTTCGAAAGACAACTTAAACATTTTCTGTTCCTACAGAAGCTTTTAACGTTATTTTTCATTATAGTTGTTCTGTTCCTATGTCTGGATGAAAATTTTGTGTGTGTGTGTGTGTGTGTGTGTGTGTGTGTGTGTGTTTGTGTGTGTGTGTGTGTGTGTGTGCGTGTGTGTATGTGTGTGTGTGTGTGTGTGTGTGTGTGTGTGTGTGTGTGTGTGTGTGTGTGTGTGTGTGCATTGAAAAATGGGTATTCCAATGTAAAGCGCTTTGAGCTACTTTTTGGGAAATGCGCGCTATATAAATGTTATATATTATTATTATTATTATTATTATTATTATTATTATTATTATTATTATTGTTATTATTATTATTATTATTATTATTATTATTATTATTATTATTATTACACACGCATCTATGTGATAATGATGATAAGGATAACACATTATGATAATAATAATGATGATGATAATGATTGTGGTAATGATGACAATGACGATAATGATAATATGATAATAACAATAATAATAATAATAATGATAATAATAATAATAATAATGATCATAAACTACGAACAACTTGAGAGGCGGTGGTTACCACTTTTTTCGCTGCACTGTTTCCGGTGCAATGTTGACACTGACTTGGACACTTGGCATATAGAATCTCTATAGTCGTGTTGTGGAGAAGTGACGGTATCCAAATCCAATGTCGCAGGTCAGAGAACCTTGTGATTTTCCCCTTTTATAATTATTGCAAAGACATGACTTTCTGCTAGATGTAGATCATTGTGGGGTTTTATTAAAAGGTGGTAGATCTACCCATCTTTTGTTTTCCATAGAGGGAAATGTGTCGATACTTTACTTTTCGGAGGTGGAGGCGGAGGCTTGTCTCCTGGCTCTGGTCATGAGTCTAGTCTAGATTCTATAGATCGGTACCTTCTAGATCTAGATCTAATCTAGATCTAAATCTAGATCTAAAATCTAGATCTAGCCTGCTGGGATTTTAGGTTTGGAGGTGTCGCCACCCTCCTAATAAATGAAGTGGTAGCCAGAGGAGAATACTAACTAGTGTAGATCTAGCTAGGGCTAGATATCTAGTCATTTCGTCACACGGTCATTCAGTCACACTGGTGCAGCAGTCAAGACCAAGACGTCACAGTCATCTCCTTACCCAAATCCACAAGGTTGAATGGAGATGGTCATTTCGTAGCACACTTATGAACATCAAACGCGTGTTTTCCTGGCAATCGCAAATCACGATTTTTGGGGGAGGGTTGTGCGCAGTGTATGGAAGGACGGGGGGGGGGGTGGCGGCCGCTGTGCTAGTCGTTGTGCCAGAGCTACACTGACTAATTAATGTGTAGATTTAGGCCTATTAACAATTTTGAAATCTTTCGAGTCAGATCAACGAAGTTTTTAAGTAGGCCTAATATGAAAGGTGTGATTGGCAAAAGATCATTATAATTTGTTTTGATATATTTAAATAAAGTAGCTAATTTAGAAATGTACGGTACAGCAATTTTGCTCAAAGCTAGACCCTTACTTTCAAAGAAAGCCTTACTTTCTTACTCTTCATTGTTTAAATTGCCTTATTAAAAAAATTATTGTTCGGCTATGGAACAGTTTTTCGGACACACAATGCGGAAAGAAGCATTAGAGAACATTGTAACAACAGGAAAGTTTGATGGAAAGAGAGGTAGAGGCAGACAGAGGGAAAAGATACTGGACAAGATGACAACATGGCTGGGAGCAGCAAGAACAACAGACACCATTGCTGCTTCGAAAGACAGAGATGGAAGTGGAGGTCCATGATCGCCCACGCCGATCGGCAAGGCACCGGATGATGATGATGGAACAGTTTAGACAAAGATTTAATTTACATTCAAAGGCTAGAGAGTCCGATAATTTCTTTTAAAAAAAGCTTAATTTAGGCTGGTCCTCCATAACTCTACTATTAGCATTAAAATTTGAGAGAGATATTTAAGCAAAGTCATTTTGTCACACATAATTGGGATGTGACGAGATGACCGTGTGAGGAAATGACTGGATACCCCAGAGGATGGTCACAGAGGTGCAAAATCAGGCATTCTCCGGTTTTGTCCCCAAGAGTACTGATGGCGGATACTGACTTAAAAGAGAGCGAGAGAGATGCGCAGCTATTTTTCTGTGCAGCACATCAAACAGTATCAGCCTTCGGCATGCGCGTAGAAAAGTTAATCTCTTACGACTTCAAGTAATCGTCGGTGGAGTCAAAGCCCACACTCCATAGATAGTAAAGTTATTGTTGGGGTAAAAACCGGATTTTATCCGTAAAATCATTGAAAGTGAAGTCATGAGGGTAGGCTGGAACTGGAAAAGCAATGTGCAGTGCAGTTTCCGTTCGTATTCTCAACATTGTTTCTTTTCCTGTGTGTAGATCTAGTCATGGCCTTGACTTTCCCAGAGAAATGATCAATTCATAGATATATTAGATCCTGTTATTTAAATTTTTAAATCAGTCAAAGATAAGATCTTTAATCTAGAATCTAAATCTAATCATTTAAATTCATTTTTATCCAAAGATCTGCAGATTTTGCTGTTTTGTAAAAATGATTTTGGAAGACATGATTGGACCCCCAGAAAAGTAATCTCTTACAACCTCAAGTAATCGTCGGTGGAGTCAAAGCCCACACTCCATAGTACAGTTTATTGTTGGGGTCAAAACCGGATTTTATCCCTAAAATCATTGAAAGTGAAGTCATGAGGAACTGGAAAAGCAATGTGCAGTGCAGTTTCCGTTCGTATTCTCATTGTTTCTTTTCCTGTGTGTAGATCTAGTCATGTCCATGATTTTCCCGGAGAAATGATCAATTCATAGATATATTAGATCCTGTTGTTTAAATTTAATCAGTCAAAGTCAAAGATATAAGATCTTTAGTCTAGAATCTAAATCTAATCATTTAAATTAATTTTTATCCAAAGATCTGCAGATTTTGCTGTTTGTTAAAAATGATTTTGAAAGACATGCTTGGACCCCGAAATAATGTGTCATATAATATGATTTGTACTGAATGTAGCCTTTAAAATTTATAATGTAACTTTTTATCTTCAGTTATAGCAAAAAGTGGTGGAAAAAGTTCAGCTCTTGTTGATGAGTGGTGAGTCATGGGGGCAGAAAACAGTGTCCTCGAAGGTTGTGAATGGGGAGACCCAGTGCAAGCCCCTCCTATATTGCCATGGCAACTGACTCCAGTTACAAAGCCAGATGGCAGCGCAGCTTCGGTGTTTGAGCCAAAAAATGCTGAAGGGAAAGATGGAGATTTGCTGCGAAAGGCTGCATCGGTAAGGATGATTATAATGTATAATTTTTCATAGTTGAACCTGTCCTAGACAGTCGAGTCACTTGACGAATGGTCTCTCCCCACTTTCCCCCATTTGTGTTTTTTCAAGTATGATGACACTATTCATGATATCCTCCTGTCTAAGACAACCACTTTTCTCCTCAGCAACAGGTGGCTATTTTGGACAATTTCCACTGTACTTAAAGTGTGAATGTTTAGTGTCTTCATGGGCTTTAGATCGAATTGCTTTTGGGTGTATTTCATATTTTAATATTTTATTATATCGCATTATAATATAATGATAAGCATCATGCTTACAAATTTATCACAACACGGTTGGAAATGAAGCTCTTGTTAATTTTTGGGCTAGTGGAGTTATTGAGTATCATCTTAAAGCTTTCGATGGAAATAATACAACACTATATCTATCTTGAATAGAAGTCAGGATATTTTTTACGATTGAAGGAGGTGGGAGTCGGCTGCTTTTAGAGGTAAAATTAAGAGAAATATTATATTTTTTTCTGCCTTTAATCAGCGTTTGAGGGTGCGGTGACAGAGCGGTTACTGCACTTGTCTCTGAAGCGGAAAGTCCGGGTTCGAGCCTCGGTTCGGACACAAATTTTTTTGGCGCCCTCCTGCCCACCCAGCAGTAATGAGTACCTGACTTCGAGTTGGGGAAGTAACGGCGGCGTGGAAAGGAACTGGCCACCCAACCACAATATTATTATGCCGAAGGCCCAGGAAGTTGTCTCTCTAACAAGGCAATCCCCAATGTCCGAATAGGATGGGGGAACAGCTTTACAACTTTACCTTTTTAATCAACGTTTAAAAAAAAATTAACATAGAAATGTTTTTTAAAAGGATGTAAAAGGCGTTGAGCCAAAAAGCAAAAATTCGATAAAAAAATAAAATTACCCAGGCCGAGGAATAACCCTAGATACTTCGATTTCATTATTTTGACGAGGGCCTGATTTCACCTCACGTCATCACACATAGTATAGCTGTTGGGTTGAAGGCTCAAGGAGTGTAGGTAGCTTCTGGTGTGTGGAGTGCAAAGTTTAGAATTAATTGTAACTCTTTAGACCCTGAGTTATTTCCATCGTTTCCCGGAGCTTTTTCTACAGTCACCTAAACTTGGTGCACTTTGTCTCATTTATAACCCCAAAAGTTTGCCTCTAACTTCTAAATGGCAGAAACAAAGGCTTAGTCATTACTAATAAACTTGGTTCGGGAATAGTTCAAAAAAAAAAAAAAAAAGCAAGAAGTAGCGCTAAATGGAACGAAATAGTTGTCACTGGTATCGGACACTCCCCAGCGTCTGATGGGGAACTGGGTTATTATTACTGGACGCTCCCAGTGTCTGATGGGGAACTGGGTTATTATCGCCGGACGTTCCCAGCGCCCGATGGGGTGTAAAGAGTTAAGTTTGTTTGAGTGTGTCTTTTCTCACCGTGAATTGTTTCAGACTCTCAAAGGTATCAGGCACCCAAATGTCGTGCGCTTCATCGAGTGTGGGGATACGTCGGAGAGTTTCTGGTTGGCCACAGAGTCTGTTTCCCCGTTAATGACGGCCGTACCGGACATGAGCTCAGCAGAACTCTGTGCTGGCCTATATGATTTACTTCAAGGCCTCGACTTCCTGCATTCAAAAGTAAGATTGGTTTTCTTAAATTGTATGCAACAGTTGCATTTGCTATCATTTTTTGTTGAGTTTAATTGTATGCAACAGTTGCATTTGCTAGCATTGTTGAGTTTTTAGTTCTCTAATAAAAGATATAAGGCAAAGGATGATATGGGTTTTTGCTGTAGTAAAATTCATGTTAATGGTTCGTGTTCATGCTAAAAATAAAAAAAAAAGTGACATGAATTTATGTCAGTAAAGTTGAGTTTCTTCATTGTAACCGTGCAATATGTTATTATGTTTTCAGTAACTTTAATGTGTTCAGTGCTATACATGTGCCATAACTGTCTTTGTTTGCTTGTTTTTGACTACAGTTGGGTATGTGCCATAACAATCTGTGTTTTGTTTTTTGTCTACAGTTGGGTATGTGCCATAACCATTTTTGTTTGTTTTTTGTCTCCAGTTGGGTATGTGCCATAACCGTGTTTGTTTGTTTTTTGTCTACAGTTGGGTATGTGCCATAACCGTGTTTGTTTGTTTTTGTCTACAGTTGGGTATGCGCCATAACCGTGTTTGTTTGTTTTTGTCTACAGTTGGGTATGTGCCATAACCGTGTTTGTTTGTTTTTGTCCTCAGTTGGGTATGTGCCATAACCGTGTTTGTTTGTTTTTGTCCTCAGTTGGGTATGTGCCATAACCGTGTTTGTTTGTTTTTGTCCTCAGTTGGGTATGTGCCATAACAGTGTTTGTTTGTTTTTGTCCTCAGTTGGGTATGTGCCATAACCGTGTTTGTTTGTTTTTGTCCTCAGTTGGGTATGTGCCATAACAATCTGTGTTTGTCGTCGGTGTACGTGGCGCCCGATGGTGTCTGGAAACTGGGAGGCCTGGAGCACGCGTGTTCTTTCAAGCTGGCCACTCAAGACTACCTGGACAAATGTCGAGCTTTCCGGGTCGAGGATTCTCTCGCTCCGGAGGAAAAGGTAGGTGGGTGGGTGACGGGTGCTCTGGTGTGGTTTGCTCCAGAAGTTTTTTAAAAGAAGTTTTTTTCCGTCTAGCATAAGGCATTTGTCAGAATGAGCATAGATGTGTGTTGCTCTTAGAGTATGTATCTGTATATAACTCCAAAGGTCTAGTATTTAAATTCCTGCATGTGGTTGAATGATGCATTTGATATGTGCATTTTGTCAGCTTTACTTCTCCTTTCATATTGAATTTTAATGAGAGTAATATATATGATTAAAATTATTATTTTTTTTAAAATACATTTTTTTAATGTATACCTGCATGTGTTTTTACGGTCCTGTACAGCCAAAGAAAATTTCCCTCTGGGATAATAAAGTACTATCTTTTCTTATCTTATCTTATCTTATCCTTCTCTCCTATAACAAATCTATCTGTCGTCTTTATCTCCCCTCCTTCTTTTTTGTTTGCTACTCTCTTGTAACACCTCTAATCTTCGGCTCTTATATGACCTTATTGTGTTGCAAATTCCGTAAAACACTTACGAAAACAGGGGGAAATATTGTTTTATTGTGAAGTGCCTCGAGCCTCTAGGGAATGGGTGCTGTAGTAATGTTTTTCACTATTATTATTATCATAATAATAGTAATTATTATTATTGTTATTATTATTACTATCATTATTGTTATCATTGTTACTCTTCTGAAATCTCACAAGCTGATTGTTTTCCAAGTGTTAACGTCTCTCTCTGTCTCTCTGTCTCTGTCTCCCTTGTACTTTCGCCACAGGCTAGTAACGTGAAGGCTGACCCTGCCCTAGGACACGCCAGGGATGTGTTTGCTTTTGGCGTTCTCGTGGATGCCTTGATGGACTTTGTCCTGGAAAAAGGTGAGGAGTTATTCTTTGAAAATGGTGAAATGGTATGAGTTTAACGCCCCTATCAACACTATTAGGTTATTTAAGAGGCGTGACCTCCTAGTTTAACGTCCGTCTCCCATAGGACCGAGCCAAGTGGGAAATTCGTGTAAAGTGCTTTCCCAAGGACACAGCGTCGGACCGAGCTAAGGCTCGAACCCCCGAACCTGCAATCTCACGATTACGAGTCCGGTAGCCTAACCACTTGGCTACCGACGCCACTAGTTATTCTGTGATGAGAGGTGAGTAGGTGGATGGTTGGCGGGTGCTCTGGTGTGGTTTGCTTCTTCTTTCCTGTCAAACATCTGTCGTCCTTATCTCCCCTTCTTCTTTTTTGTGTTTGTTACCCGCTTGTAACACCTCTCATCTTCTGGCGCTCATATGACCTTATGCAGCTGCGAGCGCTGTAATACCTACACTAGAAAAAAAAACATAGAAAGGTGAAGAGTTCTTCTGTGATGAGAGGTGGATACTTGTCTGTGCCGACTGTTTTAGTGTACGGTAGGGCTCCCGGTGCTGTCTGCCATGGGTGGTTAGGGGGGGGGGGGGATGTGCTCTCGTGTCATTAATGAGGAAATTCTTCCCTCCATTCTTCTCCCCCTCTCCTCACTCCACGCACCACTCCCCCTCTCCCTCTCCCTCCCTCCCTCTCCCCCTCTCCCTCTCCCTCCCTCTCCCTCTCCCTCTCCCTCTCCCTCCCTCTTCCTCCCTCCCTCTCCCTCTCCCTCCCTCTCTCTCCCTCCCTCTCCCTCTTCCTCTCCCTCTCCCCCTCTCCCACCCTCTTCCTCCCTCTCCCTCCCTCTTCCTCCCTCTCTCTCTCTCTCTCTCTCTCTCTCTCTCTCTCTCTCTCTCTCTCTCTCTCTCTCTCTTTCTCTTTCTCTCAAAGTGGGTGGTTGGTGGATGCTCTGGTGTGGTTTGCTCCTTCTTTCCTATCAAACATCTATTGTCCTGATCTCCCCTCCTTCTTTTTTGTGTTTGTTACTCTCTTGTAACACCTCTAATCTTTGGCACTTATTTGACCTTATTGTGTTGCGAGTGCCGTAAAACTCTTACTAAAACTAACTGTACCCTATATGCGTGAGATCTGCCTCCAGGTCTCGCTTTCTGGTGGATTGTGGTCTTCCTCTCTTCCTTCTCCCCAGGTTATTCCATCTGAAGCATATTGGGTTTTTTTTCCTTTCTTTTTTTGTAAGTGTTTTACAAGGCTCGCAACTGCATAAGGTCATATGAGCGCTCAAGCTAATTGGGACATGTGTATGAGTAATGACATTTTTTCTCTCTTTTTTTTTCTTCAGATCAAACAAGTCAAATGTTGGAGCAGCAACTGTCTCTGTGCGTGAATTCTGACCCGACCTCCAGGCCAAAGGTCACGGCATTGCTTGGCCTACCTGTGTTCCAGTAAGACTAAGAGAAAGCTGTGGGTGGTTGGCGGGTGCTCTGGAGGGGTTTGCTCCTTCTTTCCTATCTAGCATCTATCGTCCTTATCTCTCCTCCTTCTTTTTTGGGTTTGTTACTCTCTTGTAACACCTCTTATCTTCGGCACTTATTAGACCTTATTGTGTTGCAAGTGTTGTAAAACTCTTACTAAAATTAAAGAGAAGGCTTCTGCGTTCTTGCCCTGCAACTGTGTGGTGTTTTTACGTTGTCTTCTTTTCTTCCTTTTTTCTTTCTGCCCAAATGTCTACTTTGTGCATGTGAGTGTTTGTCTGTTTGTCTGTCTTGATCTGTTTGCCTATTAGTTGAAGGAGCTTGTCTTAACCCTATCCGTACGTCGTGTTTTACTATTGTATCCATACAATGTGGGGAACTCTGTGCCACCACTTTCCAAAGAGGAAATTTACTTGTTAATCCGTTCTGTACGCTTTGCATAGCAGTCTCTCAAAATGATTTTTTGAGAAATACTGAAAGTTTCAAAGAGATCTTCGTACTAGAAGCATTCTAAAATGGGAAGAATACAACCCAGGGGGTACAAAATTACCCCATGGGTTAAAGAGAGCCTTGGTGCCAATGATTTCTTTTCATTAAATGGATTTTTTAAAGTGCTCCATAAACCAGTGTCAATAAACTACTCATTGTAAACCCTGCATTCTTTTTCTTTCATCATTTTTTTGGAAGAGTATATTCTTCCCTGCAAGCTTGTTGTTATATCAGAAATATATGAGCAGTGAAAAGGTACTTAGATTATTATGTTTTCTAACAACTCTGTGACTTTCAAAGTAAATGTCATCAGTGCTTATGAACTTTGTTTTCTTTTTCTTTCAGGAATGACTTGATTGACATTGTAGTTTTCCTGAAGAACATCACACTGAAGAGCGACACAGAGAAAAAGCTGTTTTTCTGGTAAGATTTTTTTTAGGTCAACCGAGTGTTGATGTATTGAGTGTTGTGAAAAGTGATTCGTGTATTTTGTTACCGTTGTCATACTTCGTAAACCTTTACCAGGACTGTATGATGGCTCTCCCCAAAGACTTTTAGTTCAAATATCTCTTCATGTGTCTTGACGTGGGTGGTTGGCGGGTGCTTTGGTGTGGTTTACTTCTTCTTTCCTATCAAACATCTATCGTGCTTACCTCCCCTCCTCCTTTTTTGTGTTTGTTACTCTCTTGTAACACCTCTAATCTTCGGCACTTATGTGACCTTATGCAGTTGCGAGCGCTGTAAAATCTCTACTAGAAAAAACTATCTCCCCTTTTTCTTTGTTATATGTGTTACTCTCTTGTAACACCTCTAATCTTCGGCACTTATATGACCTTATTGTGTTGCAAGTGCCATAAAACTCTTACTAAAACATACTTCGTAAACCTTTTCCAGGACTGTATGAAGTTTCTCCCCAAAGACTACTTTATACACTTTTAGATCAAATGTCTCTTCATGTGTCTCAACAAGAGAAGCTTGTGCAGAACTTTCTTTGAACTGTTCCTGAACTGCAACAGGGAACTACTGCTTTTTCTTTCCTAATCCTTACTATCGTCATTCTTCCTCTACTTCTTTTGTATGTTTGTCACACTCTTGTGACCCGCTATTTCCAGGGTGCCCTGATAGTCGAAGCAGACTTTGTGCTGTTGAAGCTAGAGAGGTGAGCAGAGTAAGCCTGATTCCCTGTAAGGACTTCTCTGTTGATATCCACCCCTTGGCGCTCGTATGATCTTATGCAATTGCGAGCACCGTGAAACGTCTACTAAAACAAAACAGAGAACTGTCTATATGTTGCAGATATAGGTTTGCAGGTAAAATGTGAAGTGGCGACCACGTTGAAGTAACTTGTGTATTAGTTCTTCCAGAGGATATCTGGGGGCTCTCGAGGCCTAGAGGTTAAGGCGTTTGCCTCTCATATTCAAAAGTCCCGGGTTCGAATCCGGGTACTGACGGAAAACTTTTCTTTTCTAAAATTGTCTCCTTTCACCTCCTTTCCTGCTCTCTAGCAATGTTCTGTCGTCTGCTTCCGTCTCCACTTTCTGCCCCCACCCTTCACCTCCTTTGCCTCCTCTTTTTACAACCTTTCTACAGCTACTCCTTGGCTCCTTCTGACTGCTGTCTCTCCGCCACACCCTTGATCTTCTGGTAGGAAAGATCTACACATAGCCTTCTGAGACAAGGGCGAAAAATATTGGAAGTCCTGTGTGCAAGTTGTACATGTTAGAGATCCCTCGGTGGTCTAAAATCGATAAAAGTAGCCTTCTCCCGCCGCCTGGGAAAAATTCAAAATTTCCTACCTTCCGAATATGTTCAAATATATTTAATATGTCCCACACGCTCGTATGACCTTACGCAGTTATGAGTGCCGTAAAACACTTACCAGCTCTCACACTCACACACACACATATATATATATATATATATATATATATATATATATATCAATGCCTTGTCTTATGATGCAATGGGTCCTTTGATGCCTTGAGTTAAGATTTTTTTTTTCTCATTGAGTTAAAGCTCTGTTAGAATTTGTATTTTTTAAATTTATTTTTTATCATTAACAATCAAATGTCTGTCTGTTTCCCAAGCAACTCAATGCCAGATAATAACATATACTTTTGTCAGGCTGTTATAGTTTTGTTTTTGTCTTCCACAGTAATTTGCTGTCTCGGCTGCGTCATTTCTCCGAGACTGTGATAGTTCGTCGCCTGGTTCTGTTACTGTTGTCCAGATTTGTCTTGCTGGACGAGTGGGCGGACAGAATGGTGCTGCCCCAGCTCTTGAGGCCCCGTCTGGGTACGTTTCCTTTTTGCTTTAGTTAGTTGGGTCTTTTTTTCCAGCTTTTCTGACACTCGCCTTGATCGAAACTCCTTTTGCTGTCTTGTTTTTTGTTGGGTTTTTTTTCTTCTTTGGGTGGGTGATTGTGCATTCTGGTGTGGTTTGCTCCTTCTTTCCCATCAAACACCTGTCGTCCTTATCTCTCCTCCTTTTTTAGTGTTGTTACTCTCTTGTAACACCTCTAATTTTCTGTATCTATATTATCTGTTTGTGTTGCAAGTGCCGTAAAAAACATTTTCTAAGACTATAAACTAAACCATGTTCAGAAAGCCCAGCGGAGACATCACAGGACAGTCGCCGCAGTGGAACCCACAGGGAGCACGAGGCAGGGGTAGGCCATGGGAAACATGGAGGAGATGTGTGGAAAGGGACAGCTTGGAAGGATGGTCCAGAACAGAGGGAAATGGAAGGAGCTTGTATGTGGCCTATACCCTGCCAGGGGTGGAAGGATGGCCCAGGACAGAGATAAATGGAAGGAGCTTGTATGTGGCCTATACCCTGCCAGGGGTGAAAGGATGGCCCAGGACAGAGATAAATGGAAGGAGCTTGTATGTGGCCTATACCCTGCCAGGGGTGGAAGGATGGCCCAGGACAGAGATAAATGGAAGGAGTTTGTATGTGGCCTTATCCTGCCAGGGGTGGAAGTCATTGATGATGATGATAAACTAAACATTTTTCGTTTAAAATCCGGCTAAGCCTGAATATCTCGCTCACTTCAGACTGTAGTCCAGTTGCCGAACTGTTTCTACACCCCCCGTGGCGGTGCCACTGACTGAAGTGTCTTTAGGCCATTCCCGAAGGGGGGACATTTCTCGTTCAAGCACAGTAGAATTGTAAATGGGCTTATGCTGTTGCGAGCACCGTAAAACCCTCTACTATAATAACAATAGACTTGTAGTCCAGTTGCCGAACTGTTTCTGTGTTTCCCCAGATTCCAGCGAAGCTCCGCTGAAGTCGGCAGTCGAGACGGGTGTGCTGAGTGAGTCGATGTTCCAGAGCCACGTGATTGGTCACCTGTACAACGTGTTCCACGTTCACGACAGCCACATACGTCTGGTGCTCCTCCAGCATTTCCAGCACTACGTCCACCTCTTCTCGCGACAACAGCTCGAGGTCGACATTTTTCTGCAGGTAGCTGTCTTACAAAGGATCTCTCCCCGAGAGGATCTGTCCCCGAGAGGATCTGTCCCCGAGAGGATCTGTCCCCGAGGTTTTATGCACCCCTCATAATTTAGCAAAATTTGATTATCATTTTTTGCATAATTTCTGATTATTTTCTTTTATCCATCTTTGTTAAAATTAACAGAATCGCATAATTTCACATTTTTGGGCTTAGTTTGCTTACTTTCATAATTTTGTGTGTGCTTAATACCGCTGTGACAAAGATGCAATGGAAAATTTCCGGAATGGGGGGGGGGGGGGGGCTGGAGGAAGTTTGTTTATTTCTTGTTTTTCTAGAAACAAAAACAAATCGTCTTTTACTTGTATTAATTTATAAATTTGGGGATTAATTTTCCGGGAGGGGGGGTTTGGGGGGGGGGGGGGGGGGGTATGTCTCCCCTTTCCTGATCCCCGGTAAGGTTATTTATGAAAAGTGGTGGAGGGTTTTTCTCGTTAAAATTAAATAAAAGAAAAGAAAAGAGAAGAAAAAAACAGAGGCGATACCCCTTTCCCCCCCCCCCCCCCACAAAATACAAGACCCCCGCCTTGGGGGGTGGGGGGGGGGTGTTGATGATATCATATTTTTCTTTTTTTTTACTAGCCCAACTTTTGTTCTGGTGCTCGTAAGTCATATGCCCATGTTGCCTTGGTGACAGTTAATGTACTTTTTTAGATTAATTTTTTTTCCTTTGTATTATAAAAAAAAGTTGCCGACATGTTTTTCCGTATTTGGTTTGCTGACTCTGTCTCAGGTGCTTGTAAGTCATATGCCCATATTTCCTTGGTGACAGTTAATGTAGTATTTTACATTAATTTTGTTTTTTTAAAAAGTTGCTGCCATGTTTTTCTGTATTTTGCTTGGCCGACTTGGTCTCAGGTGCTGATTGGGCTCCGCGACACAGACGACAAGATGGTGTCTGCGAGTCTGCGCGCTCTCGCCGACCTCGTGCCGATCCTGGGCGGGGACTTTGTCATCGGTGGCTCCCGGAAACCTTTCTTCTTTCATGGGCTGCCCAAGGTTATTTGTATTTCTATTTGGTTGAACCTATAAGGAAGTTGTGGACATATTGTATGTGATCTACTTTGAATTGATATTTGCATAATTCTTTAATCTTGAGCATAGTTTTAACTTGTGTCAAATCTCAATTCCGTGTCCCCATCCCCTTTTTTTCTGTCCTTTCTGTTGTTCCTCCCTATCTGTTTTCCTTTTTCCCTGCATGGAACAGCTGTTGTTGTGACAATGTGCCTCACTTCACTCAGCTCAAACACCGTAGGTATCTACGTATCTTTGTATTTCTATGTCTACAATAGTATCGTCTCACTCATTTTATTTATCGGATGTGCTGCATGGATTTACGCATTTGCTGATTCATGTACATTCCTCATGCAAACAAATCGTCTCATCCCCTTTCCTCCAACAAATATCGTATCGCCCCCTTTCCTCAAGCGTGGGTGGTTGGCGGGTGCTCTGGTGTGGTTTGCTTCTTCTTTCCTATCAAACAAGTATCGTCTGTATCTCTCCTCCTTCTTTTTTGTGTTTGTTACTCTCTTGTAACACCTCTAATCTTCAGCACTTATATGACCTTATTGTGTTGCAAGTGCCGTAGAACTGTTATTAAAACTAAACTTTCCTCAAACAAACGTATGGTTTCGTCCCGAGCAGCAGGTGAGCCCCGAGGAGCTGCAACAAATGGAAGTTCCCAAGAACCTCAACTCCATCATGTCTTCCCACAAACCCCTGCTCAAGGACCTGGCCTCCGGCGGGTAAGTTCTACTGTCGTCTGGAACAAGCTGTTGCAATAATAATGATGATAATAATAAAAATAATAATGATAATAATAATAATGGTACTAATAATGATAATAATAATTATTATAATGATAGTAATAATAATAATGGTACTAATAATAATGATAATAATAATAATAATTAATAATAATAATAATAATAATAATAATAGAAGAAGAAGAAGAATAGAAGTTCACTCATCAGTGTCTGACAATGACCCATGCATCTGCAGAGGAAAGTAGTTCATTTAGTAAAAGTTTTACAGCACTTACAACACAATTAGGTCGTACTGAGCAGAAAACCAGACGTATAATTACCCAAGAGTAGGAGATATGAATGATAGATGAATGATTGGAAAGAAAGAACAAACCACATCAGAGCATTCGCCAACCACCCATGAGAATAGTTACTCTTAAAGAGAAGTCGAACAAATTAGTTAGGATTAAAATGATTCATGCCCTACATCAGGTCATATGAGCACTCTTCGTGGCTTCTGCTATCGCCAGTGAGATCATTTCTGGCAGAGAAGAGTTTGTCACATTTTGAGGGTTTAAAAAAGCATCGATTCCACTTGTGGTTGAATAAATGAAAGGAGCCTTGTGTTTTTTCACCACTGATGATTTGTTTTCAATTTATTCAGAAAAAGTAAGCCATATACGGAGATGGAGAAGGAGAAACAAAGCGCGGAGAGAGAGAGGAAGAACAGAGAACGGGAACAGCGGAGAGAGGAGGCGAGGCTGAAGAGGGAGGAGAGGAGGAGGAGGCTGAAGGAGAAGCAGCTGGAGGCCAAGGAAGGTGAGAGGATGGGGGCCACTCGTGGAATACCTCTCAGAATAGTTATGATGATGTTAATAATATAAATGGGAATGTATACAATAAACTAATAAACTCTCTTTATCTGGGCTACGAGTATACTTGTAACGAGGACTAGACTGGGCTACAAGGATACTTGGAACAATGATACGGTCACATCAAAGAAGCTAGTTCTTCTTGTAATTACCAAATTACGCAAATATGGCGATGCTAGCTCTGTCTGAATATTTCAATTGACCAATGAACAGCGTTTTTGATGGGTGTAGAAGCTTGAAAAATGTCTCGAAAATGTGGATAAAAAGAGTTAAACTAAAGATAGCTGACTACAGTCTAAATGTGTGTGTATTTGGAGAAAGATCCCTGTTGCCAGAAAGTTTGGATATTGAGATAAGGGCATATTCTTGAACACGCTGATTTTTAAAATTTTGCAATTATTTTGAGTATTTTTCAAGATATTCCAATATTTGTAACACAGGGTGTAAAAACAAAGTTTGGAGAAAACCCCAATTTCTCGCCCATTTTTAACCTTTGATGAAGTACAACATGTTGCAAAAATAACTTATCAAAAGTATTCAGACTTGATATATTAGGAAATCTTTGAAATATGTTACTAAGAAATGGTTCATGTGTTTTTTTCTGATGGAACTAAATTTTTGACTAGGCATGACTTATTTTTTTACCTTTTCACCCCATTGGTCAAAAATAGCTTTGCCGACAACCGGGACCTTTCTCCAAGCACACACAGAAATTGTTTCAGGCGGCCACTCATTATCAAGGAGGAAAGTCACTGTCTTAGGCTGGTGGCCATCTTACACCGTGTCATTATAATTTTAAAAAGGTGCAGGGGGGGGGGGGGGGAGTGATAGGAAATGGTGTTTTGTCTTATACAAGTTGGTGGTCCGAGCAGGTTTGACTGTTTTTATTCTCAATTTTCTTTTGAAAAAGTAACGTCCATGCCGAGATGGGAAAGGAGATGTAGTTATGATAATGGTAATAATGATAATAAAATAATAATAATAATAATAAATAGCATTTGTATAGCGCATGTCCCCGCTCAATAGCAAGGTCTATGCCCTCAGTTAGTGAATGTCGGGGGTGGTTGGAGGTATGCCACTGGTAGGAACTTGTTCTTTTCTTTCCCTCTGTTTTTTTAAAATGTGTGGGTGGGTGAAGGGTACCACTGATAGGTCCAATATCTTTTCTTCCCATCTATTTTTTTTTTGTATGTGTGGGTGGGTGAAGGGTGCCCCTGGTAGGTCCTTTATCTTTTCTCGCCGTCTGTTTTTTCTGTATGTGTGGATGGGTGAAGGATGTCACTGATAAATCATATTTTTTCTCTTTCCCCTCCGTTTTTTTTGTGTGTATCCATCTTGGATATTGTCTTTAGAATTAGAATATTTTTTAAAAAACACAAGGGGGGGGGGGGGGGGGGGGAGGGGGGAAATTTGGAAGTGGTCATTTGTACAGGCGATTTTCTTGGAAAGGTGATTGTCTTGGACAGGTGGGCGATAGAGCGGGTTGGTTGGACTGTGCAACTTTCTCAAAGAGATGTGTCTGCTGGTGTCTTGCAGGGGATGTAGAGTTGCAGACGTCGGGGAAAGAAACTTTGTCTCAGAACGGTGTGGGTCCGCCCGATTTCCTGACGATAGAACAGATGGCAAAGATGGACGGGGACGACCAACAGCTGACCGCCTTGGAGAAAACAAAACTGGACGCAGACCTCGGCACAGACAGGTCAAAGGTCGCTGATACAGACAGGTCGAAGGTTACTTATACAGACAGGTCGAAGGTTACTGATAGTGACAGGTCAAAGGTTGCGGATAGTGAGGATAATGATTGGTCGGACCTGGAGGAGCACATAGACGACGAGATTGAGGCAGAGCTCAGCAACATGCCCAGCACGGTGGACGGGGGGAGCAAGGTTCAAACCTCGCCCAGTCCGTACCGGAGTCATTCGCCCCCTTCTCCCCCTCCTGTCAAAGTGGACTGGTCCGATATCCCCGAAGCAGACAGAGGAATGGGGGGACCTGTTCATTCGGCTTTAGGGGGCCAAAAGGATGGACCTTTACAATTAGGCCACAGCCTTGGGAATGTTAAAAATAGTTTGTCGAGGTCGGAGTCGGATTGGGGCGCGGAGCAGAGGTCGCCGAGTGCGGTGGACGCGGGGGATTGGGGCGACGACTCATGGGGAGACAGCAACACGCCCAGTCCCGTGCATGCCCAGAGCGGCTCTTCCCCACCGCCGGCCACCTCCAACAAACAAAGCAAAAGTCTCAAGCTTGTCTCAGCAGCAAAGTCGAACAAATCAAAAACGAAGACGTCGTCTGCCGCCACCAGCGCTGCCTCTGCGGCCGGCGCGGGTAAAAAGCTGGCCAGCGAAGACGGGCTGGGAATCGGGTACGACATCAAAAGTATCGAGATTGTGACCAAGTCGGTCGTCGTGGAGACAGATTTCTTTGCCGATATGGCGCCGGTGCTCCCGGAGAAGAGCTCTAAGGAAATTGGCGGCTTTCCCGTCGGGGGATCGTCTGTGGAGACTGGTAGTCCGTCGGTGCCCAAGACGAAGATGTTTGCCGTAGCAGACGCAGCTGAAGAGGTGAGTGTGACGATTTCTGCCGGATTGTCTAGAAACTGTGACCTAGAATTTTAAGTACGGTAAAGCAGATTGGTGGGTGGTTGGCGGGTGCTCTGGTGTGCTTTGCTTTTTCTTTCCTATCAAACATCTATCGTCTTTACCTCCCCTCCTT